AAAGCTTATATATAGCCCTAAGCATTACCCTTTTCTTTTTTATAATCCTCATCCAAACCTACGTAAAAAAAAAAAAAAAAAAAAAAAAAAAAAAAAAAAACTACTTTTTAAAAAAAAAAATTATTTCTTTCCATTCACATTCATTAATTTTCAATAAACACTATTTTTCTTTTACCTAAAATTATGCGGCGGTCAAAATACAATACTTATTAAAACCAGATTAAGTATGATTATATGAAAAAAAAAATTCCAAAGTCTAACTACTCTCTCTGTCCCCAATTATTTTCTCCACTTACCTTTTTTAGGTGTGCCCCCACTTGCACTCTCTCTATCTCTCCTTATTGATATTTGTGTCATTCTATATGCATTATTTTTTTGCCCAAAGCCTTAATAACGTGAATTTATGGTTTGAGCCTTCAAAGTTTAGATTTTTTATTTTTAATAAGTTTAGATAGGATAACAAAGGGCATGTTCGGCAAAATATAGTTGTGAAGGTAGCTGTAGCTATGGAGGCAGCTGTTAGCTGTGTAGGTAGTTGTTAGTTGTCAACAAGCTGTTAGCTGTGAAGATAAATAATTTAGATATGAGTGTTCGGTAAAGTAGCGGTTGACTAGCTGTTACATATAAAAATCAATATTTTATTTTTAAAACTATAGATTAAATTTTAAACAGTTACCTCAAAAGCTACCTCTAATTTCAAAAGCTAATCTTTCTAACTTTTCACAAAAGCTTTTCCTTCAGCATAATAATTCTTTCAGAAAATAAAAATATCTAAACTTTAGCCAATCATTCATCTAGTTTCAAACTTTTAATAAAAGTCATTTTTAAAATGCCACTCGTTTTTTTTTATTCATATGAGCCACAAGGGCGGGTACAACGGGGGGCAGGGGAAATTCCAGCATATGCTGGGGGCAAGGATCGATCCCGTAACCTCGAAGTTACAAGATGGGAGTGCTACCATCAAGTAAACCTGGGCACGGGCCGGGTTGGCCCGCGTGCCGCCCGGCACGGCCCGCCGTTCGGCGCAGCCCGGCACGGCCCGAATTCAAGCACGACACGGCACGAAGTTTAACTCCCGTGCCACAGGCCGTGCCACGGACAGGGTTGAGAATTCCCAGGCACGGCCCGGCACGAGCAGGGCCATGGCCCGCCGTGCTGGCCCGTCGTGCCGGCCCGCGGGCCAACGATAATGTTACCCGTTTATTCTTAGCTCCTTAATAAGCCAAAAAAAACGGCTAAAAACGGCTAGTTTTTTGCCAATTTGCTCCCCAAAAATTCTATAAATACTCACCTCCATTTCATTCCCAAATCACAAAATCACAATTTCTTCTTCTTATCTCTTATATTATCTAAATCTCTAATAATCCTTATTTTCTTAAATTCTCTAATTATTCTCTTAAATTCTCTAATTATTTTCCTAATATCGGAAAAAATTAAAAAGTTCGTAATCGTAATTAGTGGAGCGTTGAAGCACGGTTGTAAGATCTAAACTAATCTTAAATTTATTATTGTTTTATTGTTATTATTAGAATAATCTTGTTTAATTATTATTGTTGTTAATTGTTATTGTTGTTGTTATAATTGTTGTTATTAATTATTATTATTGTTACAATTGTTGTTATTATTTATTTTTGTTGTTATTGTTATTGTTATAGTTGTTGTTATTAATTAATATTATTGATATTTTTATTGTTAAAATTGTTGTTATTAATTATTATTATTATAGTTAACCACTTTTTATTAAAAAATTAATTGTTAATTATGGCATCGAACAACCCATCATCTAGGTCTAGGGGGAAAGGCCGACTTATCCGTAGTAGTAGTTCTAGGGAACCACCAAATACAACGAGCCCCCAAATTACGAGTCAAACCAATGACCCCATTTACTTCCCCCCGGGCTATGAGCCATATAATACGTCGGGATTTCCAGCACCACCACTAAACCAATTTCCACTACCACCATACCAATTTCCACCTAATTATATCGGTGATCAACAAAACTATTGTTCTAGCCAAGGTAGCCAAGAAAGTACCCGAATTCCCTCCGGTTCTACCCCTTCTACTGCCACTCCCACTAGTCCCACTACTAACCATCACACACATCATGAATGGTTAACCGAAACTAAGATGCTACTTTTGAAAAACCGAAGGAGTGAGGTATGGCGTTATTTTGTCCTAAGTAAAGATGGTGAACAATGGGCAAAATGTAAAACATGTAATAGTGTATTCACGGCAGTTACCAAAAACGGGACGGGACACTTATCTAGACACATGAAAGCTTGTGCAAAACCAGCTAGTGATCCAACCCAGCCCAAAATTTCCCAATTCCATCCATACTGCTTTACATACAACTATGAGAGGGATAGGGATGAACTAGGAAAAATGATAGTACACGCCGAACAACCTTTTCTTTTCTCGGAAAGTTACGCATTCAACACCTACATTAACAAAGCACTACAACCCCAACATAAAAGAATCTCTAGGAAAACCGTTCGTTCCGCCGCAATGAAAAATTTCCTAGAGTACAAAGTCCGGTTACAAGCCGAATTGAGTAACCTTAACTGTAGAGTATCTTTAACAGCCGATTCTTGGGATAGTGGTTATAAATATCACTATTTATGTGTGACTTGCCATTGGGTAGATGATCAATGGATGTTACAAAAAAGAATAATACATTTCAAAATGCTGGAATACCCACACACCGGCATTAACATTGCTCACCATTTAATGCAAGCAATAGACGAATACAACCTTCGAGATAAAATGATGTCTATGACTTTTGATAATGCAACCTCTATGACATACACAGCTAATCTTATCAAACAAAACTTAACCGATGTACTATTAGACGGTGAAGCTCTTCATACTAGATGTGTTTGCCATGTACTTAACTTATGTGTACAGGATGGAGTTCGGGCAATTGGCCCATACTACAGCAAAATCAGAGATGCTATTATGTCTATTAATAGCTCTAACATGAGATACCAAGAATGGAAGAGTTTTCTAAAACAACAAAAGATAAGGGTAATAAAAATTAGAACCGATTGCTCAACTAGGTGGAATTCCACCTATGACATGTTAACAAAGGCAATTGAGTACAAGGGCCCGTTAACATTATTTTACAACCAAAAATTTCCACAAAATGCTTTGTATGATGATGATTGGAATAACTGTGAAAGATATATGCAATTTTTACAGTTATTATATAACATGACGTATTGTTTTTCTACTGTTTACAATCCTTGTGCTCAAAACTTTCTTTCTAATGCATGCTTACTCGCCCAACTTTTCGCTGATCATCGCCATCAAAGTGAATATGATCAGTATCTTCCAGCAGTGGAAAAAAAGTGGCGTAAATATTATAGTGAGATTCCTTTGATTTATATTTTTGCTTCCATATTAGATCCTAGACAAAAGTATGAAAACACATTTATGTTAGTTGACATTTACTTTCAATGCATGTTTCTTGACGATGATGTAGAAAACTATAAGACTAATGTGAAGGATCAGTTTTTTGCTTTATATAGAGTATATGAAGCCAAATATGGCACCGTTCCTCGCTCAGGGCCTTCCCAACCATCCAAAAACGTAAGTAAGAAGGCCAAACATTTATTTTCACAAGCTACTAACTTGATTTCAAGGTTTTCAGGTGATTCATCAATCAGGAGAACGCAAAGCGACGTCTCGGAGTTGCAGATGTACCTGAGTTACGACTTCACCAAAGGCATGGACGACGATGAGATAAACAGCCTCGACCTCCTTGCATGGTGGAAACAACAAAGCTCGAAACATCCAACTTTGGCGGCAATAGCACGAGACATTCTTGCTATCCAAGTTTCCTCTGTCGCCTCTGAACGAGCTTTCAGCGCATCTGGAAGGGTTTTAGACGATAGAAGAACAAGTCTAAAACCCGAAACACTAGAAATGTGCGTGTGTTTCAAAGATTGGTTGGATGCGGAAAATCGTTCACAAGACCGTTCTTACGACCACAACGACAACGAAGAAGGAACCTCCGCTTCCGGTTCGGGTTCGGCTAGTTCCCAATCTATGCAACTAGCCGATGACCTTGAAGGCGAAGGCGAAGACGAAGACGAGCAAGAAGAAGGAGAAGAAGAATAGACAATTATTGTATATTGTACGATTTTAAAAATATCAATTTTATCATTTTCCAATTTTTGTTTAATACCATCATTGTATGATTTTTATCATTGTTATCATTGTACAATTTTCTCAACTCAAGTAATAATAATATAAAGTACGCATTATTCACATCCAAAGTCCAATTTGCCTTTTTTCCCCGTTTTGTTACAATTTGTAAATTCATATTAAAAAAAATAAAATTATACCAATTACTAATAAATCATAAATATTAAATTTTAAAGTAATAGTATAAAGTAAATATATAAATATAAATATTGAATATACAAATTATAAAACATAAATATTCAACTTATAATTATAAAATTCATAACTTAATAACTTATAACTTATAAGTTATAAACTTATAAAACTTATAATTATAATTTTATAACTTATATACATTATAAACTTATTAATTTATAATGTTGTCATATAAAAAAAAAAAAAAAAAATTATTTGAAAACTGCACCAGCCCGCAGGCCGGCACGTGGCCGGCACGGCACGAGCCCGCCAGGCACGAGGGCCGTGCCGTGTCGTGGGCTGGCCTGTGAAAATGGCACGGCACGGCACGAAATCCTAGGCCCGCCGGCACGAACCAGCCCGTGGCCCGCCAGGCACGGCCCGCGGCGGCACGGCCCGACACGGTGCCCAGGTTTACCATCAAGCCAACTCCACATCCTTTTAAAATGCCACTCGTACTAGTGTTATGTATTACTATCGCTACATCAAGTTTGTAAATAAAAAATAAAAATTGTCACTTATAAAATGTAACTCCACATTTATATAATTGAAATTTGAAATAACACAGAAAAATTCCAAAAAAATGTACTTAGCAATAATTAAATTAATTCATAAACTCCTAATTTAAAATCGAGTTTCATTCACAATATATCAGATCACCATTCGAAAATTACATTAAATGAGATGATTTTCCACCATATTTCATAATCATCATCAAAACTACTCTACATGACAAAAAACAAAAACAAAATTCCAAAAAAATATCTGAGAAAAAGTTAAAAAATTTCCCAGAATAAATCCAACACTACAACTCTTAAATTCTTAATAAAATTTCTACTCCTCAAAATAAATCATATTCCATTAATAATATCTCCAAAATCGCCGGTAAATTATTTTCTCTCTCATCCCAAAAATTCAAATTCAAAAAAATGTTAATCAATCTAATCTTGAAACCCAGTTTTCTCCCAAATCGCATTCCTAACCTTATGCAGATCTCTCCCTTTCAACGTCCTTCCAACACCTTCATGAACTGAACACGACGCAATTCTCGTCCTCGCTAAATACTCATGCGGCGGCACCCACTCATCGCCGCCGTCATCTCCGCCACAACTTCCGCCATTTATCTCAAACTCGCCGTTGAAACTCCACTTATCAGCCTTGTACTCTTCCCGGAGTATCTTCGACCAGTCTGGAATGTTCACCGGCATCGACACCGCATCTCCGCCTACTACGCATTTACTTTTACTCCTTGTTGGTGTCGGCGCTGCCATCGGTCTCCTTGACTTCCGCCAATTCGGTGGTGACTCGGGTGAGTCGGATCGGGTTGACCCGCCCCAAATGTCGGATTCCTCCAACTCTAACTCGGTTGTTGTTTTGATCGGTGATGGTTGGATCGGATCGTTGCTTAGGAATCGGTAGTTGCTCGCTCTTCTTGTTGCCATCATGTAACTCTTCGTACTCGCCATTTTTTTTTTTCGGATCAAATTGTAATTTATAATTAACTTTTTTTTGGGTTAGGAAAAAATAGTTGAGAAAAATGAAATGGGAAGAAGAATGATGATGATTGGGTAGTTGGCAATGGAGTTGGCAAGAAAGACTAGAAATGGGTAACGCCAATTTATAATGGATTTTGTGGATAAGGTTTCGATCCAATCAAATTTTCTCTATCCTTTGAAGTTACAAATTTGTCCTTCGGTGTTTTTAATTTTAAATACTGTTACTTTATTAAAAGTTTAGCCAAGTTATTAACAGTTGCCAAGTGTTCCTATCAGAAAAAATGAAATTTTTGGGATAAATAAAGTTGCCAAGTGTAGTGCATTTTGCATTTATTGTTTTTTATGGAGTAATTACTTTTTTTTTTTTTTTTTTTTTTTTGGTATTTCTTAAATAAAAATTATAAAAATAACTTCCTTTATCTCTTAAAGTTCGCTTAATGTACCTAGACAACTTTGTTCTCACATAAATTATTTTAAGACTGGATAATGTACCTAGATAATGAATTCACTCAATCAAAACTTAATACTTTGTACCAAAAAAAAAAGGTTAATTATTATACTTTGACACTTTATATATATGTATCGTATCAGCATATAAGACTGCATATAAACATTAATCGTATACTCCTTACTTCACTCTTAAAATATTGAACCGTGTTGACTTTTCATGCTCTCGTTTAATTATTTATTGTGATTTATATGAGATCTTAGCATCTAATTTGTAGTTTTAATGTATTAACTTTTACTATTATTTTACTTATTAAGACCTAAATATATTATTGGAGTTGTATAACGATTAAAGTTTTACTAATATTTTACTAGTTAATACATTTTTTATTAAGACCTAAATAATGTATTAACTTTTACTATTATTGGAGTTGTATAACGATTAAAGTTGTTTGTAACCGTGAAAGATAACATGATGCAATATTTTTAAACGTGAAGTGTATATATTGCCATATTGGAGTGTTCAGGTAACTGGAGGGTAAAAAATGAAACAATTGAAATGAAGGACTACTCTGTATAAAATCGTAATTGTACTATAGGTTCATTTTATCGACGTGGTTTAATAATTTTATTGACGTGTACATATTTACGGATTAATCTTTGGCGTGATGGACATAATTGACGAGCTGACAAAGAATAGATAGAGATGGATAAGGATTTATTAATATCCTAATTGTCTTTTTGCACTTCTTGTTATATAACTCCAATAATCTACGTGTAAAAACTAACAGTTACTTGTATGGTTTAACAAACTCTTGTGGTGTAAATTCAACCATTCACTTGACTTCCATTATTTTGATTTTCGATCAAATCCACCTAGGTAGGCTAAGCTTGAATTATTAATTACTCTGTATTTAGAATTCGCCCGCATTTTCAAATGTGTTCGTTATTATATTGACTCGTGATTTAGAGTAAAGTTCTTTCGTATTTGAGAGATAAATTGGGCTTATAAGTACTACTCCTTCCGTCCCTAAATTACATTTCTGTTTCTAGCATTTATTTCTCACATAATAGAGGAAAACAGAAATGTAATTTAGAGACAGAGGGAATATACTATTGTTATGAAATACAATAAAAAAAAACACATCATACTTTGTAAGAGAGTAAAGAAAAAGATTAAAGTAATCCAATCGATCATAGACAAATATCTTAAGATAAGCATTACATCGCTTTATTATTAATTAATTTTTTAAGTGAAGGTTTCAATAATTCAATAATGTACTATAATTGGTATACCTAGATGAAATTGGGGGAATCAATGCTGATCTGCATTATTATCATCCAAAGATTATTAATTATGTAGATAGCGTATTCTATTCATCATATACATATAAATTTATTGAGTCCAATCTATATTCTAAATTTTCACCAAAAAATCTATATTCTAAATTGCCAAAATTGTACAACCTTATCCTCACCACCTCAACCTTCATAACTTCAAATTCTTAAGTCATATGGCTAAAGTGCAAAACAACAAGCAGCTTGTATGTTCTGCAAAAATATTCTCACTTAATTAAAATCCCTAATAAATTAGGTCAAATTAAACTTCAATCTAAAACACTTTTTTAGTTCTTAAAATTAAATTGTTTTAACTTTTACACAATTTGTTTACTAAAGTATACTCCGCATTAAGCAAATTTTTTTACTAGTAATATATAAAAATAAACATGGTTATATAATGATTTTCAAATGTCTTAATAAGAATTTTTAATGTATGTATCAAATTAGGGTCTGTTTTCTAATGTTGAAATTCAGTTCACTTCAGTTCAGTTCAGCTCAGCTTAGTTCAGTTCAGTTCAATTTCTCTTATAAAATATTCAGTTCAGTCAATGAAAACAGGCCCTTAAACTAATTAAATTTTTACAAAGTTATTAATTCATATACGAGTATAAGTTAAAGTACGTTGTATTAATGATCGAAATTGTACCTTGATAAATGTATGTATTACATAAACAGTTCAATTTAAGATAAGGAATTGATCGAGGAAATGTATTAAAATTAAACATCAACTAGCAAAATGAGTATTAGTTCAATTTTAAGATAAATGGATCGATCTAGAAAATGAACTACAATTAAACTTTATAACTAGCAAGGTTTTCCTCTTAAATATTCCTTCTCTTGAACTGTATCATGTAGTAAATGAGTAGCATTGGAGCTTTAAGTAATTAATTAAACAATCCTAATAACCACACCAAAATATGCTTCATTCTTTAGTCGTTACGTGTATCCTTTGAAAGCACTCGTAAAATATAAGCTCCGTATTATTGTACTTGGTACAGTATTATCCAATAAATTATGTCATATTATATTATATGTTATCCCTCAAAATAATATATGAATAAATGAAATAAAGTCAACGTAAGAAGAAGTTTCATGGAGAGTTACGAATTGAAGGATGGTTGGAGCTCTTGGTGATAAGAGCCCCTTAGCTATAGAAGATATCAAGATATGTATGATGACATCTATAGATAAGGGAAGGGTTAATAAAGGCTTGTGTCTCCTTAAATAGTTAATTAGACTACAAAACCATCTTAATAACTACAAGTGTAGATAATGCTCCATCATTTTTTTATTTTTTATTTTTTTTTTTGATTAAGGACACAATATTCCATCTTAAGGATATCATTGACATTTATTGTTTTCTTAAGAAACTTTAAATCTAATTAAATAAGATTAGTAATCGTGTTATTTACGTCTTAATTTATTGGTACTTGTATTTTTTAAATTAGGAGTACGACAGTTAAAAGTATCCTTTTATACTTCGTATATTGACAGTTATACGAGTATATGGTAAACAGTACAAGTCTTATTTGTTTCAATGTAAAATATACGAAGTAGGATTTATCAATAATAATATGATTTAATTAATCAGGTCATGTTGGAGTTGATTTATAGTTTATCTTCAGATTATACTGTTAGATTTGTATTTTGTTTGTATTCATGTTGTACATATTTCACTTAACTTGCCGTATCTTATGAGTTGTACATTTTTTAGCTCATTTTGGAACTCTCCCATCAATTAGCTTAGAATGAAATACATCAAACCAAGCCTAGTCAATTGGAAAAAAGTATCTAATATTAGGTGTTATGGGGTAATTTTGTGCAATGGTTGACCGATAATGATAGTCAACAATCGACTCTACAAGACCGGGTCAAGATAGTTACGAGTGTTTCCTAGAATCAAGGAGGGACAATGGGTCAACAAGAATCAATCTTCAAGATTGTTACTATGTATCTACACCCTAGAACAAGTCCAAGTTCATTAAAAGACCAAGTAAAGGAATCAACCACTACTCCACCAATTAAGAAAGCGGGTGAGAGAATCAAGGAACCACTATGCAACAACCACCCAAATATCTCTCCAACCTACTCTTGGAAGTTCTATAAATAGAAGAGTCTTCCTCCCATGAAATAAGGTCACAACCTACGGATACTAGCCTCCCATGCAACTAAATAGTAGCCTAAGTTCTCCCCGCTACCTACATACTACTCCTGCGAAATATATCCATACATGAGCTTAGTCCACATATGAATTCCACTAAAACCCACATTACCTTAGTATCATTTGTAGCCTCAGTTTCCGTATGCCCTCGTAGCTATTCTTATTATTTCCTAAACCACTTGTATAATTCACTTATCATCTACTATATTTTATACCCTTCATAATCTCCATACAAACATCTTTTTACCCACAAACGTGTCACATACCTCCTAGCCATATTACGAGATTGATACACTCCATTTACTTTGTATTTATCTACGTTGTATTTTATATGCACCAAACACGCATTGTACTTGTAATTATTGGCTTTATGCCCGTATTATAGTGGATTGGTGGACTCATTGCCACCCGCGGTTTTTACCCACCTTCATTGGGGTTTTCCGCGTCACCATATTGTGTCTCCTCCCTCTCCCTTTATTTTTCCGTCATTTACTTTCCGCATTCCATACTCCCTATTTTAATTTAGTTGATCTGTAGCCCGTATCCCACATCAAATCCTACTTGACGAAATTTAGCATGAACAATTTGGCGCCATCTGTGGGGATGCAGCTAGATTAAAATCCTAACCCTACAAAAGTTTCTTTCCAAACACATTCAAACACATTCCCATCATCAAGATATATCCAATCTTATAAAGTGACTTCATAAGAATTACTGTTCGTGGTCCGACGATGAGAAGTGGTGATCGACGCCAACCTAACTCAAAGGGAGATTATCTTTGACGATCTCAACAAGTTTGGTAATATTCTTTTTTGTGGTTTAATTAAGTTAACTAACTATTTTGTATTTTCTTTAGTCTATGACAGACTATATCGTCATAATCAAAGTAGTCAAATGACAATGACCATCAATGTGGAGGCCAATAAAGCCATGGAGGTCATCAGTTAACAAATCAATATCATTTGTCACCAACTTGCTTCGACGTCGATGACAATAGTTAGTTTTAACGATGATGCAAGTAAGATTTAATCTGATACAAAATTTAGATATTTTACTTGACACTTCTCCATTCTACAAATATTTTCATGAAATTTTTACCAATCACATATAATGACATTGGCTATAGTAATGCTTATATATATTTTTCATGATGACTAACCTATGTACC